ACCAAGTACTCGATGTAATTGTTTCAGCCCTAATTTTCACCCATTGTTGTAACGGGCCTCCTCATATGGTTTTACTTTAATTTTCTACGTGCTGCTGCTGCTTCTGCTGTTGCGTGCTGCTGTTGCGTGCTGCTGTTGCGTGCTGCTGTTGCGTGCTGCTGTTGCGTGCTGCTGTTGCGTGCTACTGTTGCGTGCTGCTGTTGTGTGTGTGCAGAAGGATCCAGAATCACTAGAAGCTGAGATGAATGAGCAATCTAAGGATGAGGTAAGGCCAGTCCTAGCAACGTTTAACATTGGTAGTTTGTTATTAACCTTTCCTATAGTGCTAGGAGAGCTGTGTACACGCACACGTGAAGTCACACAGGCGTGTGCAGCCCACAGCTGTGTACACGCACACGTGAAGTCACACAGGCGTGTGCAGCCCACAGCTGTGTACACGCACACGTGAAGTCACACAGGCGTGTGCAGCCCACAGCTGTGTACACGCACACGTGAAGTCACACAGGCATGTGCAGCCCACCAAGCCCCTATTTCGACGGTGCATCCGTTTTCATGCGTGTCCGTATACTTGAGCAATGACCTGAAGGCTACTTTCGCCCCTGAGACCCATATTCAACCATCTTTGAAGAGAAGTCCTGAATCCAGGCTGCTTTGAAAGCTCCACGGTCATTGTGAGTTTGCGATGGTGCACCTTCCTGGATGAAACAGTTTCTTTGGTCTTGATCTCGTTCTTGTCAAAGATTATGAAGTCTCTGCGGGAGGAGCGGAACTTGGCGAGTCGACTCAAGGAATATGTTGACAATCTTCTCCTCATCGTCATGGAGCAGAGTCCACATTTGCTGGAAGTGCGTGGCAAGTAGTGCTGACTAAGACACCAGCAGCATTGTCCTACATACTATACATAGTATATATACAGTCACACACACACGTTCAAACTGTCTTTGGTTTTACTTCGCTTACCTATGTCAATGCTAGTGCTATTCCAAAACGGAAGTGATGAGCGATGTGCATGCCAGCACCTCCCCATATCTGACATGTGACACATAGCATGTGTGCCTCTTACCTTGAGATGCTGGCTCAGCTTGCACAACACACATTGCGCAACATTGCACGGTTTGCACCCCCCCCCCCCCCTCTCTCTCTCACACACGCACACTCAGCTACCTCGCGTAAGTATCACATACGGAGCCCCGAGGATGACCATCTCTGCCTTTTCTCATAGAACAAAATTAATACTCTTTATTTATATACCGACTAGATTCATAACATCCTAAAAAGTTGATTTATATATATTATATCATGCTTGTATGGTGGATTTAGTCTAGTTAATCTTGCCTCGTTAAATGATTGAAAGATGCGCGGGCAGCAGCTGAATCCTGCACTTAATCACCTCGGGTAGAGCTTGTACATTCGTAGTACCTTTTGTTCTCTTGACATGTGCACGCATGCGCCTATATTCTGAATTATACCTATATTCTAGGCATGTGTATGACAGCTGGCTGCACACGCCGCACTGCTTGAACATAGTAACGTTATCATAGCCTGCACCATTACCTGGTGCTGTTTTAGATTTTTTTAGACGGATATTTAGCAGATATTATTTAGTAGATATTATCACTCATCTAGATATTATCACTCATCTAGCCGTGCTCTGTGTTTCATGTGCTACCTTGTTTTCTATCCGCTTGGGCCGGCTCTCTGCTCCAGCTGCACGTACACGTTTCTATTTTGTTTCCCATTCTCCCGGCCGAACATGACAGCGCCTGCTTTTCTTGCCAGCCCGCCTGCCATGCTGTGCAGCACCCTGCTCTCCGCTCCCACCACCATTGCTCTACTCGTCGCGGATTCTTCTCTTGATCCTGATGCACACTTTTATGCTTTTTGTCAGCTGGTCTTTTTTTTCACCTTTTGGCTTTCACTTGCCAGAGAATATTTACACGTGTGTGTGCACGGCCCATTCGTACGTACAAATTCTACGTCTGCCAATTTGTGTCTTATCTAATTTTTAACGTTGAATATGAATCAGTGAGGATCATCGGACAGTGTAGAATAATAATATGAAACAATAGCTTGAAGATATACCGAAGAATGAATGTGTCCATGTGCGTGTGTGTGTGTGTGTGTGTGTGTGTGTGTGTGTGTGTGTGTGTGTGTGTGTGCGCGCGCGCGCGCGTGTGCGTGCTTGGAGGTGCTCCGACGATGCCAGGATTGGACCTGGGGTTGTGATCAAAGGGACACACTTCCCGTCAAAATATGACGCCATGGTCTGGGTCTCTGGGGCAAGTCTGAAACTAGAGCTGACTATTGTTATGCATGCACATGTACCGTAAAGTACCGCCAGAGCGCCCCACCATCTCATCCTTTCGTGGTCGTATTGTGGAGGTGGTCTGCATGCTGTCTGTAGGTCATACGACATGAACCTGGTACACAGTCATATTGCACGTTTTGCAGTCAATGCGTACCTTCGAGGGGACACAAGCTCCACACAAAAACCTTCCAAGGCTGTGTTTACATGAGAAATTTCAACCCGGGTCGAGTTCAGCCCGGGTTGAAAGTCTGTACGATAGACAAAAGAGGTGAGCGTTGACATGAAGACAGTTGACCCGGGTCAAATACTGATATGCCGCCAAAAGTCCACTTCTACAGTTCTGTATGGTCACGTGAATCTGTTCGCGCGAAATGTGCATCTGCAGTGCCGTTCAAACCTGGCTATCTCGCGCCGAGATACGCACAGAAGTACGTTTGTACGATTTTCTTGACCCGGGTTGATTTCAACCCTCCCCTTGGGGGGAGGGTTGAAATCAACCCGGGGCGAAATTTCAACCCGGGTCAAGCGCAATGCGTCATGTAAACGCGCCATTCACTTTGTGCACATGGCGGGTTGAAATCTGACCCGGGTCGAACTCAACCCGGGTTGAAACGCTTCATGTAAACACAGCCTAAGGCTGTGTTTACATGAGAAATTTCAACCCGGGTCGAGTTCAGCCCGGGTTGAAAGTCTGTACGATAGACAAAAGAGGTGAGCGTTTACATGAAGACAGTTGACCCGGGTCAAATACTGATATGCCGCCAAAAGTCCACTTCTACAGTCCTGTATGGTCACGTGAATCCGTTCGCGCGAAATTTGCATCTGCAGTGCTGTTCAAACCTGGCGCGAGATACGCACAGAAGTACGTTTGTACGATTTTCTTGACCCGGGTTGATTTCAACCCTCCCCCCAAGGGGAGGGGAGGGTTGAAATCAACCCGGGGCGAAATTTCAACCCGGGTCAAGCGCAATGCGTCATGTAAACGCGCCATTCACTTTGTGCACATGGCGGGTTGAAATCTGACCCGGGTCGAACTCAACCCGGGTTGAAACGCTTCATGTAAACACAGCCCAAGGCTGTGTTTACATGAGGCGTTTCAACCCGGGTTGAGTTCGACCCGGGTCAGATTTCAACCCGCCATGTGCACAAAGTGAATGGCGCGTTTACATGACGCATTGCGCTTGACCCGGGTTGAAATTTCGCCCCGGGTTGATTTCAACCCTCCCCCCAAGGGGAGGGTTGAAACCAACCCGGGTCAAGAAAATCGTACAAACGTACTTCTGTGCGTATCTCGCGCCAGGTTTGAACAGGACTGCACAATGTCATGCAAATTTCGCGCGAACGGATTCACGTGACCATACAGGACTCTAGAAGTGGACTTTTGGCGGCATATCAGTATTTGACCCGGGTCAACTGTCTTCATGTAAACGCTCACCTCTTTTGTTTGTTGTACAGACTTTCAACCCGGGCTGAACTCGACCCGGGTTGAAATTTCTCATGTAAACACAGCCCAAGTGTGACCTTATTAGTACACTAAGATTCTCACATCGTACAAACTTCGTTGCACTCTGCCATACGATCTTCCTTCCTCTGGCTGTAAAATCAAGGTGGGGCGCTCTCGCGAGACGGGGCGCTCTGGCAGTATACTGTACGGTACATGTATTGGAAAGGCTTTCTGTCTAAAGCCTTTCCATACTGGTGCTCGATGTTTTCAGTTTGGGGACACCAAAATTAGTGTACCGCTAAAGACACGTGGTCGACACGTTGTTGACACGTTGTTGGCACGTTGTTGACAATTTGTTGACACGTGACCCAATTACCGGCCTACCAAGTGCCTTTGGCGACCGCTAACAGCAACTGTGGAACAGTGCAGTGCCCTTTTTTGGAGCAACGTACGAGTAGTGCCCGTGGATTATGACCCCGCGACCCCAATCTACGTGGCGGTCCGCAATTAATTCGCTACTTCACACTGACTGGCGTCCGGCATCGTCCCGAATTTGGCCGCAATCTGCTCTCGGGACCCCTATAGGGCTCCCTGACCTGCTCCGCCATCGTACTGCGCATCCACCCAGGCCAGGACTGCACTTACTTACGGGAAGGAGTATTTGCAAGATGGAATCTGGGAACTGGAAGACGACGAAGAAGAAGCGTGGGAATCCGGCGGCAATGGCTGGGATGTAAGTCCAACATTGCTGGTGCTAGAGTTGCCACTGCTTGCTTTAATATAAGGGAATCATGTGTGTTGCCTTTTGCCTTTTCCGACGTCCTCCTCCGACTGTACTCCCGATCCCAGGACTGAACTTACGGGAAGGAGTGCTTCCAAGATGGAAGACCAAGAAGAAGAAGCCGCTGAATCCGGCGGCAATGGCTGGGGTGTAAGTCCAACATTTCTGGTGCTAGAGTTGCCACTGCTTGTTTATAAGGGATTCATGTGTGTTGCCCTTTTTTGCCTTCTCCCATGTTCTCCTCCGACTGTACTGGTGAACGCTGTGACATATGTTGCCCTTTCCAGGCAGTAGAAGGGAGGGGCGGGGGGCAGTACATCCTGGCATCCAGGAATGCTAGGTGGAACTAGGCAATCTGACCTTTCCTCTTACTCCAATAATGGTATGGATGGGGAGTTCTTGAACATCCTCAGTCTTGTTAGAGTGAACTGTGCAACTCGGCAATCGGTGATAGCAAGAGTACATAACCCCCCAGAGTGTGCAACTCCACTATGGGTGCTGTCCCGACAGAATTTCAAGTTGACGTCATTTTGATGATGCAATGCGCACTGTACACGGATTATCAGACGAATCCGGAACCTGTGGTTGACCGAAGCCGATCGGTCCTGTACAAATTATTGCAAAGAAAAACGTGTGATGCGTTGACACCCGTACACATGTTGTAAATCACTGCTGCAAGGAGCATTGCGTCATAAATAATGACGTCAACTTGAAATTCTGTCGGGACAACAGGGTATGTGGGAGTTGCACACTCTGGGGGGTTATGTACTCTTGGTGATAGCAGAGGACCAATGCCGATGGCGATGCTCCTTCCTTTTGCTCTGTCACAGGCTGCGGTCTCGAGAAGAAGCGTTATTTCTGCATTCCAAGAAGGACGGCACAATGGTGAGTGGAACTTCGTGGGTGTGCAGCATTGCTAGTTGAATTGTAAATCAACCATTCTTCCTGTCTCTGACTTCTTCAATGTCCTCCTCAGTGTCGGACTGTCCGCGTCGCATTGAACTGGTCCGATGAGGCTGCTATTGCACACACAGTGAGGGAACTCCCATACGGGAACTCGGAAGTACTGCTACAGTACAGGTAAGGTGGTCATTGCTTATGTGGGTGCGCCGTTGTTGTCAACTTTTAAGCCAGATGTACTCCGACCTACATGGAGTCTGAAAGTAGTCAGCTGGCGAACTACAATTGAAGTTTAGACGTTATATGCCGCGGCTTGGTCAGCTTTTTCAGTTTCACAATGCATTGCACTCAGCACCGCTTCTCGGAATATCTTGTCAGGATAGCTGTGGAACGCATCCTCCCCAGTGGCGGAACGGCAAATGTGCTGTTCATTTTTAGGCTTGCTTTTATGGTACGTACAAATCCCCATTGAAAAGACATAGTGGAGACCAGAAACTGCAAATAGATGTTGGGAACCGCGAAGACCACCCTTCCTCGTCAAGTTCCCTGAGGATGTGGAGGGGGGGGGGAGCGGAGGAGGGACATTCCTGCACTGCTTAAAGTAGGATTCACAGGAGCATTTTCAGAAATTGCTTGTACATTTGTACCAGTTGTAACCGACAAACGCATTCTCATTGAGCTTTGACTTGAGGCACGTCAGCAAGGCACTGTTGCATCGCTGACGTCTTGTCGTGATTCTGTGAATGGTATTTTGTGCGAGTTTGCATCGCACGCAGAATCGCAGGTCGTGTCGCATTGCGCAGCACACTGCCAAATTGCTTCTGTGAATCCCACGTGAATGGGAATTCCAATGGGAATGTAATCCATTGCCAACAGGTGTATTCCCGAGCTGCGCATCATACTGCAAAATTGCTCCTGTGCATGCGAGTTTGCATCGCACGCAGAATCGCAGGTCGTGTTGCATTGCGCAGCACACTGTCAAATTGCTTCTGTGAATCCCACGTGAATGGGAATTCCAATGGGAATGTAATCCATTACCAACAGGTGTATTCCCGAGCTGCGCATCATACTGCAAAATTGCTCCTGTGCATGCGAGTTTGCATCGCACGCAGAATCGCAGGTCGTGTCGCATTGCGTAGCACACTGCCAAATTGCTTCAGTGAATCCCACGTGAATGGGAATTCCAATGGGAATGTAATCCATTGCCAACAGGTGTATTCCCGAGCTGCGCATCATACTGCAAATTGCTCCTGTGCATGCAAATGGATTTCATTGCTCTTCTGTAGTTTGGGAAATTCTCGATTATGATAATTCTGCGTGTGTGTGTACACCAGCCCTGAACATACATGTAGGTGACCCATTTGTGGTGTCTCATAGCCTACCTCACGACCTTATGCTTTCTTTCTGTATCACTTGTATCTTGCAGGTATATCACCCCGTGACGACCACATCGAAGTCTGAAATTGAAGTGTGAAGATGCTTCAGCAACCCCTTCATATTTTTCCATTGCTTTTATTGTGCTTCTACTGTGCATGTGATGGCAATGTATGCCGCGCCGGTGACACGGTCAGATTTTGTCCATGCGTGTAACGTACACCTG